CCTTGCTCTAAACTTTTCTATTACTATCTGGGGCACTGTCATTCTCCCCATCCCTTAGGGTTGCAACTTTGAAACCTATTTATTTCTCACCACCCACATCCAGTCCATGGTCAAGACCTGTAGATTTCACCTTTGCGACATCTCTCAAATAAGCCCCTTCTCTCCTCGGATATAGCCACCACCCTAATGCAGGCCTCATCACCTCACACTTCGACTATTAGAGTAGCCTGCTGGTGGATCCACCTGCCTTATGTCTCTCTCCACTGAAATTCATCCTCCATGTAGCCACCAAAGTAATTTTCCTAAAATATCTTTCTGACCACGTCACCTATCTACTCAATAAACACCAGTAGCTCCATATCACTTCCAGGATCAAATACAAAATCCTCTGTTTGGTTTTCAAAGTACTTCATAATGTAACCCTTTCCACTATCTTTCCAGTCGCCTTATACCGTACTCCCCACCACATGCTCTTTGATTCAGTGACACTGGCCTTCTTTTTATTGAATGAAGAAAATGCTCCATATCTCTGTTCCAGACATTTCTTCTGGCTGGCTGTCTCCTCTGTCTGGTATGCATCCTCATCTCTACCTATAGGTTTCCTTCAGTACCAATTAAAATCCTACTTTCTACAGAAAGTCTTTCCAATCCCTCATAATTCTTGTGCTTCCCTTTGTTAATTGTTTCCTATTTATTTTCTGTATAGCTTTTTTATATATATATATATTTGTTTGCTTCTTTTTTACCCCATTGGATTATAAGTTTTTTGAGGGCAAAGACTATATTTTGCTTCTTGTATCCCCTGTATTTAGCACAGATCCTGGCACATAGGAGGTACTTAATCAATGCTTATTGAATGATCAGCCTACTACATCCATCCATTACATAGTCATCCAGGCATTTCCTGCTCATTTTTGTACTGTAGAGTTCCATTCATTTTGAGGCAAACCTTTCCACTGCTCCACACTGATAATAGTGATTAAGTTCACAATGAATTTTTATAATAAATCTCCTTCCCTATAGCTTCCAACATTTGTTGCTACTTCGCCATCTGACGTTATACAGATCAAGAGTAAGGCCTCTCTCATGTTAACACTTTTGTTGACATTTTGTTGATATTTGTTGACAGCTATCATTTTTTTACCCAAGTCTTCTTTATTCTGAATTAAAGATCCTTAGGTCATGTACAGTTTATCATATTAAAGGAGTTTAAGACTGCCCACACCTGTGTTCTTCTCCTCTGGATACATTCTATTTTGGTAGTGTCTTTTTCAAACAAAAATATATTGCCTGGAAATGAAACTTACACTGTAGGTGACAAGTTGAGGTATTCTATAAGGCATACCAAGGATTTCATTTTTATAGGGAATGACCTGTATGGAGAAACATCTACCAATGCAGGCAGGAAAAATATCCAATTTATAGTCTTAGAGAGTTGCTGGGATCAGTGAGAAATTGGGTGGCTTGTGCAGAATCACACAGTAGTTGTAATCAGAAGTGGGCCATTATCACAGGTCTCTCTGCCTCTAAGGACAGTTCTCTGTCCATCATATGATGCTGCCTCTCAGATCCACAGACCAATGAAACTCTTAAATCCAGTTGTCTGGAGATCTAGAGCAGTTAAAATAAAATATCTTTTAGGTCATTATTTTAGAATATTGTGGTCAAGCTAAAAAACTCCAAGTTTTCCACATATATTGCTAACAGACGCAGCTTCTCTCACTTTGTGCCAATCCATTAAGCTTTACTTGATTTTTTTCCCTTTAGACATTTTTTATACAAGATTTAAAATTCTTCCATTTTAAATTTCACTTTAATAATCTTTGTTATTAATTATTGAGACAGATAGGTGGTGCAGTGGATTAAGTGCCAGACCTGTAGTCAGGAGGACTCATCTTTGTGAGTTCAAAGCCAGCCTCAGCCACTTATTAGACGTGTCACTCTCACAAGTCACTGAACCCTGTTTGAATCAGTTTCTTCACCTGTAAAAATGAACTGGAGAAGGACATGGAAAACAACTCCAGTATCTTTGCCAGGAAAATGCCAAGTGGGATCACAAAAAGTCAGACGTGATTATAACAACTCAACAAGGGAAGAATTAGTTCTAGTTTGGAAATGCCATTTTGATCATGATTGTTCCCTTTCTCTGTGTCTTCATACAAGCTATGACTAAACATATTGAAATGGAAAGATCAGTGAGGGAGCTACATGGGACTCTGCAGATACTATCTTCCAGACATATATCTGTGAAACACTCAACAGACTTTAAATGTGATTTTTTCATCCAAGAGTAAAACTATATCAGGCTCCTCACGTCAATTGATATTATTTGAGCAATTTCTACACAAATATATAATGACAATGTTCATAAAATGTTATATTACATCTGTATTACAATTATATTACAATATATTATGTATATTACAGTTCCCTAATCCACTAATTAGATAATGTAATTTTTGAAAATTGCAGAGGTTATTTGAACATGAATTTATCCTTAGTGACTGCTTATTGTTTCTCAGTGATTCTTTTTTAAAACGAGCATGAATCATCCAGGTACTAGTTAAAGTGATTGTATATTAACTTAAAATGCAAACATGATTCAATATGTAGTCAAGTCATTACACGATAGATTCTAGTGTTCAACTTGGAATCTACAATGTTTCAAGTTTAATGCCATCTTTTGGCAAGTTAGGAAAAAAATTGGTTTGTGTATAAGTCCTGTAGTCATAATATCCTCATTTATCAAGCTCAGTAAAGGTCCAACATAATAAAAGTGCTTGTTGTAATGAAATATAACTTTTAAACTGCGTATGAGATATTATTGTACAGTTACCCATGGCTTTCTTATGTAGTTGGCTTAATATTCAATGTCCAAGTAAATAATCTCTGAATATGAATAGGTAAATTACCATATGAAGCATCACAATCCCAGCATTTGGATATATTCCACATCTCTTCATTAACATTACTTGTGTCTATGGATAAGGTATATCCTAATTTCAGTTGGGTTAATTCAATTGGGTAAATCTGATTTCAACTGAGAAAAATCATGAGACCATCAGATTACATGCAACATTTAAAATGGCAAACAAACACACATGTTAATCATAACCTTGGCCTCATCAAAATATGCACAAATCATCGAGTTTTGGGTTTCTTGCATAAAAACATAATTCTCATCACCAATAAGTTATAAAAAATTTAGCCTAATAATCAATACTGCCCTAAGAACTAATACAAGGAGTAGAAACACATCCAGGTATCTTTGGGAAGGAGGGTGAAGACTCTCATGGAAGCAAAAATAATAGAAGAATTAACATCTTTTACTTCAAGTAACAGTTGTCCTAGATTTCTCAGAAAGAAGGATAAATTTGGAAGTTGGGGAAATAAAAACCTTTCCTATTACAGTGAATGTGTTTAAATCCACAATCTTTCTGATTAAAAAATAAGATAATGGCAAGTTTGTAGTTTTCTTCAATTAATTATAAGGTCCTTTTGCAATAATTGGCATGTTGAAGACTACAAGAAAATCCAACTGATCCTAAGGTTCATAAGATTTCTTCTTATTCACTTTTAGACAATTTATTTAGATAAAATATTATGAGTTTAGTCCCATTGCACCAAGCCCCCAGCCCACCAATTTCCAGAAGAAATTGCCTAACTTTAAATTTACATTTAACTCTGGTCTTTTTGTTTGATGCAAAAAAAAAATATCATTTCTCAAGTTCAGTAAGTGTCAAACATTGTGTGGTGGTAAGGAATTTTTTAATTGAGTGAAATTTACCCATGGTCCAGCTAGGTATGGCTTTCTGAATGAGCTGACTTAATATTTTATGTTTAGGCATACCAGTGCTGAACCCAAATGTGTAAGCTAACATTTTCAGAATCACAGTGATGGTATTTGCATGTATCTCAGATTTTTACTATAGTTTTTTTTTCCTTAAATGTCTTAATAAGCAAAAATCCATACTCCACTTTCAATAAGAAAATCACCAGATTGCTTAACTCTGAGTAAACACTTAAACACAGAAGATTTCACTAGGATATTAATTACACTCTTGGTCTCATCAAAATACATATACACAAAAACATCCATGCATATGCTATTCAATTTTGATTTATTTTTGCATACAAATAGCCCAAATAAAATTAAGATACATTAATATTAGCCTTCTACCATAGAATAAGAGCAACAAGAAGTAGAAAAATAGCCTAGTGTCATTTGGGCAGGAGAGGGAATGCACACATTATTCAGTAGGCAAAATAGAAGAATTAGATATTTCTTTCTTCAATAAACACTTGTCTTTTAAATGACACAGAGAAATGAGTAAATACAAAGATATGGGAAAAATAAAACACCTTTGGCAATGGAGTGTATTTTGAAATCTACAGCCTTTCACCTGACAAAGAAAAAATAATATGGTGATAATCAGTACTTTTACATGACTAATTTTTACATCATTAAAATAGCCAGCCTATTTAAGTGTATATTTAGGTGGTTTCTTTCTCTTCAGTTTTAGGGAGTTTGTTGAAGACAACTGTGATGAATTGCATTATAATCACAGAGTCCACAGTTAGTGAAAAAAAAATCCTAATATTTACAAGTAAATTGCTTAACATTACATTTTTATTTGTCTCTAGTTAATTCTTGGCCTCTTTTTGGTTGAGGAAAAATTGAGCTTACTCAAAATGTTTGGGTAATGAAAACAGCAAATTATGTAATAGGGTCTCTGATAATTTACAGATGATGTCTAAGGTCATGAACAAATTTTTCATGCTGTTGAAACATTTTTACTGTTCAGCTTCCTTTCATTTCATTCAATGACTTCAAAGGTGACTTCACAGTTAATCTAAGTCTTCGATTAATTGAGAAATGGTCTCATCTAGTTAAAATGTCACATCTGCAATGGAGTTGATTGGTTTCAACCCCACATTTACACATTCATCAAGGTCATATTCTTAGATCTCAGATTTTCCCATGTTTCTTTCACATCCAGATCACCTTTGGGCCACTTGTCCTGAGTGACAAGGCTCAGTTTCCTTCCCTTTACCAGATGGCCCCCACGGACTCTTCCCTATATAAAGGTCTGGTCAGATTGATGACTCATTTTGAGTGGACATGGGTGGCCCTGGTGACAGTGGATGACCTGAGAGGTGAGGAATTCCTTCGGGAAATGACAGTGGAGATGGCAAATAATGGTGTCTGTGTGTCCATCACAGAAAAGATCCCTGTCAGTGAGAGAAGACACACAGAATCACAGGTGACATTCATGCCCAGGATCATGGAGTCAACATCCAAAGTGATTTTTGTTCATGGTGACACAGACTCATTAATGATCTTGAGATTTTCACAAATTCCTCTTCTCTCAATTATGAAGGTGTGGGTCACCACCTCTCACTGGGACATTACCATGAGACCACAATATACTGATGGCTACAATTTCCATGGGGCACTTACATTTTCACACCTAACAAGGGAAGTTCCTGGTTTTAGGCCTTTTCTTAGGACTGTGAACCCTGCTAAATACTCAGAGGACATTGTACTGAAAGAATTCTGGCACTCAACATTCGGATGTACAGAAGAACCTGAAAAATGGAAGCAAAAAGAATGTTCGCTAAATGCTTCCTTGGAGACTTTGCCTTTGCTTCTTTTGACATGACCATGTCTGACTTGAGTTACACCATCTACAATGCTGTCTATGCTGTGGCTTGGACTGTCCATGAAATGTTCCTGATGAAATCAGAAGAAAGATCCATGGTAAAGGAGAAAGCTGGGTGCCTCACCCATGGCAGGTAATATTCCTTTAAAGCTATGTGTTTCCCACTGCCATGCAATGGTGACCTGATGAGGAAGTGCATGGCTTGGGATCCTCCCAAAGTTTATTTGAGCTAGCAATCATTCAGTCAACAAATGTTTATTAAATACCTACTATGTAACAGGCACTGTGTTAAGGGTTGGGAACACAAATAAAAGTAAGACAGTCTTTCCTCTCAAATAGTTTAGTCTAATGTAGGACATAACATGCAAACAAGGTTGTACAAGCAAGATATGTGAAACATAAATTTGAAATAATCAACTGAGGGAAGGCATTAAAATACAGAAGAATGTCCTATAGAGTATGGAGTTTTAGCTGAGACCTGAAAGAAGCTAGGTAATTTAGGATGCATAGATGAGGAAGGAGAACATTCCAGGCATGGAAGTTAACCAGAATGCCGAAGGCCAAATGGATGGGGTGTTTTGTTTGAGGAACAGCAAGGATGCCAGTGTCACTGGCTCCTGTAATATTTTTAGAAAGGTAGGAGACAGGTCATGGGGGACTCTGAAGCAAAAACAAAAAAAAAAACAAAACAGCATTTTACACTTTATGTTGGAGGTTATAGTCACTGGAATTTGTCAGTGATAAGTCGAATTTGAAAGTTCATAAAATCTTTTTGACACCTGAGTGGAGAAAGTACTGTAGTAGGGAAATAGTTGTAGTAGGCAGATCAACTGTGTCATTATTGTAATAGTCCACAGTTGAAGTGATGAGGGCCTGAACCATGGTGGTTACAAAGCCAGAAGAGAGAAGATGGTGAATATGAGAGATGCTATGAATGTAAAATCAGTGGAATTTGGTAACAGAGTGGATATTGGTGAATAAAAGAGAATGGGGAGTGAAGGATGACACCTACTTGGGAGCCTGGGTGAGTAGGAGTATAATGGTACCCTCAACAGTAATAAGGAAGTTAAAAGGAAGGATTGGAGGGAGGAAGAAGATATCGAGTTCAGTTTTAGACATGTGGAATTTAAGATGACAACATATTATTTTATTGACATTTTCTGTTTCTTACATCATTATATTATCCCATAATTCCCTCCCAAATCCCTCCTCAAAATCCATCTCATATGACAAGTATTTTTTTTTTTTGGCTAGGCAACAGGGTTAAGTGACATGCCCCAGTTCACACAGCTAGTAAGTGTTATGTGTCTGAGGCCGGTTTGAACTCAGGTCTCCTCCTGAATCCAGGGCCGATGTTCTACCCACTGTGCCACCTAGCTGCCCCTCAAATAGATTTTTTTAGAGAGAAAAAATAAATCAACACAACTGATTGATGAATTTGAAAAGTCTAAAAACCAATGCAATGTGTAACACCTGTGGATGTCTTACCTCCACGAAGGAGTAGGCTGGGGGTCTCTTCTCACATGTCTTTGTTCTGAGTCCTGCATGATCTTTATTAATTTGTTATATTTGCTTTTGATTTTGGGAGGAATCCATTGTTCTTTTCATTTACATTGCTGTAATTGCTGTGTATATTGGCTTTGTTTATTTCACTCTGTATCAGTTCATATAGATCTTTCCATGCTTATCAGTATTTATTACATGCATTATTTTTCACATTCTATTTTTTTAGAATGTTGACTTCCAAATCCTCTCCCTCCATCCATCTCTTCTCCCACACATTGAGAACAAAGAATATGATTTCAATTACTTGTGAAGTCATGTAAAACATATTTGTATATTAGCCATGTTGAAAAAAACAAAAGGAAGAAAAATAAAGTTGAAAAAGCATGGCTCAATCAGCAATCAGAACTCATAACTTGTTTCTCCAGAGATGGACAGTATTTTTCATCATAGGTCCTTTAGAATTGTTGGATTGTTGTACTGCTCAAAGTATCTAAGTCTTTCATAGTTGATCATTATAACAACATTGCTGTTATCATGTACATCATTCTCCCAGTTACACTCACTTCACTTTGCATAAGTTCACGTAAGTCTTTCCAAATTTTTCTGAAGTCATCCACTTTGCCATTTCTTACAGCACAATTGCCTTCTATCACAATCACATGTTCCATGTTGAACCATTCCCCCATTGGTGAATATCCCCTCAATTCTTCTTTGCCACCACAAAAAGAGTTGCTATAAATATTTTTGTATGTATACATCATTTTCCCTTTTTGTTGATATCTTTGTGATGTGGACCTAATAATCATATTACTGGATCACACGATATGTACAGTTTTATCTCCCAGGTGGAATAGTTCCAAATAGTTCCAAATTCTCCAAGCTGGTTGGACCAGGTTGCAAATCCAACAGCAGTGCATTAGTGTCCCCATTTTTACATATCCCCTCCAAGATTTGTCATTTTCATTTTCTGTCATGCTAGCCAATCTGATAAGCATGAGGTGATACCTGGGAGTTGTTTTAATTTGCATTGCTCTAATCAATATTTAGAACCATTTCTTCATCTGAAAACTGCCTTCATATCCTTTGACCATTTGTCAATTGAATTATGGGTCTTGTTTTTATAAATTTGACTCAGTTCCCAATATATTTGAGAAATGAGGCCTTTACCAGAGAAACTTTCAATAAATATTTTAATATTACTTCATTGTCTATGGTGTTTTTTTTTTTAGCAAAATGTAGTTTTCGTGATCATTTCTTTTAATTGAGTCTATTTTTTTATTTGCATAAGATCATGATTTCCATTTCTGCCTTTTTATTTCAGATGAAGCACAATAGATTCAGATCCTGCCCTTTGCTTTAACTTTGTGTCTGTTTCAAGTGTGTCTCTTTTTAACAATATATTGTTGGATTTTGGGTCCTAATCCTTCTGCTATCTGCTTTTGTTTTGTGAGTGAGCCAATCCCATTCATAAACACCATTAGGTTTGCCATCTGTGTGTTTTCTTAAATCCTATTTTCTTCTATTTGCCTTTCTCTCTCTCATCTTCCCTCTCCTCAAAAGTCTGTTTTTCTTCTGAAGACTACCTCCTTTAATCTATCCTCCCTTTCATCACACACCTTTTCTCTTATCCCCTTATCCTCCTAATGTCCTGATGGGTAAGTTAGATTTTTATATCCAACTGTGTGAGTATGTATTTTCCCTCTTTGAACCAATTTCTATGAGTGAAGTTTAAGTGTATGAACACTGAAATTTGGCTATAACATTCCTGGAAGTGTTAATTTTGGGATCTCTTCCAAGAGGTGATTAGTAGATTCTTTTGATTTCTATTTTACCCTCTGGTTCTAAAATGTTAGGGCAGTTTTCTTTGATAATTTCTTAAAAGACGATAGCTAGGCTAATATTTTTATCATAAATTTCAGGTAGTCCAATAATTTTTTAATTATTTCTCCTGGATCTATTTTCTAGGTCATTTGTTTTTCCAATGAGATATTTCACATTGTTTTCTATGTTTCTTTTCATTTTTTTGGTTTTATTTTATTTTTTCTTGATGTCTCATAAAGTCATTAGCTTCTATTTGCTCCATTTTAATTTTTAAGGAATTATTTTCTTCAGTGAGCTTTTGGACCTCTCTTTCCATTTGGCCAATTTTGCTTTTTAAGGCATACTTCTCCTCATTGGCTTTTCGGACTTCTTTTACCATTTGACCTAGTCTGTTATTTGTGCTCTTTTCTTCAGTTTTGTGTGTGTGTGTGTGTGTGTGTGTGTGTGTGTGTGTGGCCCCTTTACCAATCTGTTGACTCATTTTTCATTATTTTCTTGCATCAGTCTCCTTTTCTTCCCAATTTTACCTCTACCTCTCTTACTTGCTTTTCAAAATCCCTTTTGAGCTCTTCCATGGCTTAAGACCAATTCATATTTTTCTTGGAAGCTTTAAATGTAGGAGCCTTGACTATGTTGTCTACTTCTGAGTGTGTGTTTTGATCTTCCTTGTCACCATAGTAACTTTCTCTAGTCAGTTTTCCCATTGTTTGCTCATTTCTTCAGCCTATTATTTGACTTTTAACTCTTTGTTAAAGTAGGGCTTAGCACTACTAGGTCTGCATCCCAATTAGATTAAAAAAAGGAAAAATATCTATATTTTAAAAATATATATATAGTAGCTCTTTTTGGTAGCAAAGAATTGGAAATTGTGGGAATGATCATTAACTGAAGAATGGCTGAAAAAGTTGTGGTGTATGATTACGATGGGGTACTTTTGTGCTATAAGAAATGATGAGGGGGTGGTTTCAGAAGATAACATGGCAAGATCATAAGAACTGATGCAAAGTGAAGTGAGAAGAACCAGGATTTCATTATGCACAGTAACAGCAGTGTTGCAAATGATAATCAATTGTGAAAGAATTAGCTACTCTGATCAGCATAATGATCTAAGACAATTTCAAGGAATTCATGATGTAAAATACTATCCACTTGTAAAGAAAGAACTGAAGAAATCTGAGTGCAAAAATGAAGTATTTTCTCAGTTTTTTTTTCCATTTTTCTGATACGGCTAATGTGGAAGTAAGGTTTTCATTATTTCATATGTATAAATGATGTTATTTTGCTAGCCTACAGTTTAACCTTATTAAGTCCCTTATGATTCCCCTTTCCTATTTATCTTTTTATGATTCTCCTGAGTCTTGTATTTGAAAGTCAAAATTTATATTCAGCAATGTCTTTTCATCAAGAATGCTTGAAAGTCCTCTATCTCATTGAATATCCATTTTTTCCCCATGAAGTATTATGATAGGGTTTGCTGGGCAGATGATGCCTGGTGGTAATCCTAGCTCCTCGGGCCTCCAGAATATCATATTCTAAGCCCTCTGATCCTTCATACTTGAAATAATGATTTCATACATCGCACTGCCTCACACTGAAGACACTGACTCAGACTGGTCCAAGTAGGGCAGAATGAAATGAGACTACCCCCTGTTATATTCTGCAAACCAGCTATGTGATCTAATAGAAGATCTCTCAGTCCAAGAAATTCCCAAAATAAAATGTAACATCAAAAGCAGCTGAGACAGGTTGAGTCTAGAGACCTGAAGATGAGCAATGCCTACAAAATTATCACAGAAATGAACAAGTCGAAGGCATTTGTTCCAATAGTGGCAATATTATCCTCCCATATCTGAGAAGAATGAGAGTTAAGTCAGGCTTTTATCTGGATAATTCAGGAAAATATAAAGGAATTTTTTATCAGAATTAACCCAAGTAATTTGGAAGAAATCAATATTGAGCTTGAAGTCTCCATGCAGTGTCATAATACATCACTTGAATATGTATTTGAGTAGAGACAATACTTTCCTTATTATGGAGGGATGAAGGTGACTTTGGATAATGACTCAAATAATGTCAAAAGGTCTTCTCTCCTTCCCATTCTCCCAGTGACTGAAATTCCAGAACTAGAGTCACTACATCAGGCTAACAAGTGTCTTTTTCTAAAGAACAGATACATCTGGCTATCATAAGAGTTAAGTGACACCTGTAGTTTGATGGATTCAAAGCAAGAGTTTGTACTGATGGAAGGGAACTGACTTTGTAATATGAGGCAGCACCATGGGAGGGCCACTATGGGCAGGATGCAGTCAGAAGTCAGGTAAGACCTGGTGGCTTAGTCCAGAAAATCAGTGAAGGCTGGGTTCCTTTTGTTCTGAGAAGTCACAGGAGTGGTGAGTGGTGCAACAGGGCAGTACATTGACCAGAACTTTCCAGAGGCAATAGTAGTTTGATTTGATTTGATTTGACTGCAGTTTTCAGAGGAAGATATGTCTAATGGAGACGAGGTAGAACTTCCAAGGCAGCAAGACAGAAAAGTACCAGGGTGGATAGGAGGCAAATGCTTTAAGTATGAACCTATTTTCCTAAGGATTGAAGTTATAGATGGGAAATTGTAATACAACTTGTATTTCAGAGGGAAATGACCTGTAATAGCTATTCCTGTGATAACTTTGAAATAAGTACTCTTTTGTAAAAGTTAACTGATGTTAATAGGTTAAATGTAATGGGGCACTAATCACTGTTGATTAACTTTTGGTAGAGCATGATAGAATGGGGGAGAAGCTGAAACTGAGGGCAGTGGAGAGAGAAACCAAGAATCCTTCACCAACATGCCTGAATGCTTAAGGGAAAGATAGAGCCTTCTTCAGGAACCTAAACACATATGTAAGCATAGAAATTGAACAAAGCTTATAAGGGACAAAATATGTTTTTATTTATCTGCGTCTTTTCTCTATCTTCCTTTGAATCTTTATTTCTTCTATTGGTGCTAAAACATATAATATGGGGGGAAGGGGACAAGAGAGTAGAGAGATGATAGAGGGGAGGGCAGATTGGGGGAGGGGGTAATCAGAAGTAAACACTTCTAAGGAGTGACAGGGTCAAAAGAGAGAACAGAATAAATGGGGGGCAGGATATGATTAAGGGAAATCTACTTAGTTTTTCACAATATGACTACTATGGAAGTGTTTTGCATGACTACACATGTATAACCTGTATCAAGTGGCTTGCCTTCTCAATGAAGGCGGGTGGGGAAGGAGGAAGGGAGAAAATTTGGAATATAAAGTTTTAAAAACAAATGTTTAAAAAAATTGTTTTCACATACAACTGGGAAATAAGATATACAGGAAATGGGGTATAGAAATCTATCCTGCCCTTTAAGAAAATTGAAGGGGAAGAGGATAAGAGAAGGGGGGAAGAGATATAAGGGAGAGCAGATTAGGGGAAGGGGTACTCAGAATGCATGCCATCTTGGGGTGGCAGGAGGGACAAGATGGGGAGAAAATTTGGAACTCAAAATCTTGTGGAAGTGAATATTGAACACTAAAAATAAATAAATTAATTTAAAAAAACCCTAAAGCTAAAACATAAAATATGTGCTTAATAAAATCTTGTTCACTATGGAATGAATTCCGAGCAACTCACAGGTTTTTCTTCTAGGGGTTTACTAACCTCAGGCACCAGGCATTCATTGAGGTTTCTCTTCTCTTACAGCTCTACTCATTTCTAAAGAATATCCAGTTTAACAACAGTGCTGGTGACTAGGTTTTTATGGATGAGGATAGAAACCCCGAGGCTCAATATAACATCCTGAACTATGTAACCTTCAGTATGGACGCTGAAGCTCTGGTGAAAGTCGGACAGTTTATCCCCAAGGCTGAGCCTGGCCAAGATTTCACCATTAATGAGGAGGCCATAGTATGGGGCTTTACATATTATGAGGTCAGAAATAATTGCAATATCAATCTGATTATCTAATCAGGGGAACAAATTTTACCCTGCATAGTTCACTCTACATCCCTTTCTTCATGGGTAGAAAATCTTTCTTGGACCCTGGTTTCTTTTCCCTTTGCAGCAAACTTGTTGGTGGAAAAAAAAGTCAAATAAGCAATCCATTAGGTGATTTTAAACTTGGGATCATTAGCACCATTATAGATAAAGATGAAATGGACTTTAAAGCTCATCTTGCTCAGTCATGTCTTTTGACAGAAACAAGAAACTGAGACATAACAAAGGTAGTGATTGATCCAATGTCCTATGATCCAAAGGTCAGTGTTTTTGTCAACTATCTGGCACTGTTGTGAATGATAACACCCAACTATCCATCTTAATTCACTGAAAATGGTTCATTCAATCACCATACCTCTATGGAGCCAAGCAATGAGTTTGACATCTAATTTCCAAAACTCATTCCATTTCTGAGCCCAACTTGTTTCTCTATAGGACTGTGAAGTTTCCCTTTCCCATTAAAATGAACAAGGAAGTCAGCATCATCTTTGAGTTATCGGCATCCTACATGCAGACTGATTAAATATATTTAAGTCAATCACTTATATTTCCTTCAGTAACTTGTATCATAACCATTAAAAAAACACAGTTGACACTGAGCATTACAAAGTGTTAGATAAATAAGAACCCTGAGATAACATCTTGTTCAAATTCCTCATTTTACAAATGATTAAAGTCTATGAAGTTTAAAAGTTTCGGCCAGTTTTCCACAGCAAGTGGCAGAAATGGGACTAGCATTCGGGTCTCAGTTTTTAGCCCAGACCAGTGCTTCTTCTAGCCACATTCCATTGATGTATGAGCAATTCTCATGTTTCGCCTACAGAATAACCTTTCTTTGCCCCAAATCAATATCATTCATTCTCTGATAATGATATACCATCCTCTGTTCTGTTAATATCCAAAACCATCACGCATTTTCTCCCTTGTCACTAGATTCCCTGTTCCATGTGCAGTGAGAGCTGTGGTCCCGGATTCAGGCAAAACCCTCTGGAGGGACAGCCCATCTGCTGTTTCAACTGTTCTCTGTGCCCTGAGGGGGAGATCTCTAATCAGATGAGTAAGTGTCTGCAGGTAGTTTTCCTCCTACACCCACTGGACAAAATTAACTGGTGTTTTGCTCTAGGGTAACATAACAGCTCTATCACCACCTGAACAATAGGATATATAGAAACAAGGTGAGTTAGTGAAAAGTTGTGAGCTAAGGGCAAGTGGCTTGAATGAATGGTTAGAGCATGACGTTCACTTTACTATTCAAAATGAAACCTACAAAATAAAAAAGTAGCTATCTTGCCCTATCTCTTTGTAAATTTTTGAATATTTGCAAAAGCCTTATGGTTTCAAGTTCAATGGGATACTTAGCTGGAGTGTGGAGGGGTATGTTCTTTGCAAAATATTTGTGATGGTGTGGTGCTGAGTTTATGGACATCTTAGGTGCAACATTCACTAGAACACTTTAGTGTAACATAGGTTTTAAGGAAATATGGGTACCCATAGTATATGCTGGATATTCTTTCATCCCTATCTCTTGCCATATTTTAAAGTGATATTTTGATAAATTATCTAGAAAGGGAAGAACATCACAAATTAAATGTTTCTGTATTCCCTCTAAGAACTCTGTCATGGGAGACCCTGACCTTTTCAGAATCACTGTGAGCTGGGTTATTTGGGTCATTTATTATAAACTCCACTAGTGTGACACCCTATTATATGTACAGAATATGTAAGAATCACACTCCAATAGTAAAAAAAAAAACAAAAAACAAAAAACAAAAAAAAACATTTAAAACTTCAATGTAGAAAATGTAGAAAATAAGTGAGAGATAACATATTAAAATCATTCTTTGCCTCTGTTCATCAATGACCTCACATTACTAAACCTCTTAAGGAGGTTACAGGATTACAGAATCAGAAAATTTTAGAATTGGAAGCACCTTTTACAATGGGTGGGAAATAAATCACCTGGGGATGCTTAAAGATTAGATGGGGAAATTTTTTCTTAACTAAGTGAGAAGATCTCTACTGCAGGGAGCACAACTCTGACGGGCTGGCCTCACTGTTCGATTGCAAAACATATGCCTGCCAAAAAGACTGTTTTATAGAGAACTCACACAGGACAACTGCTCCCATGGTGGTGAGAAGAAGCGATACAAGGGCACTCTCAAGGTCTTTCTTAATTTTGGATTTGACTGTGTGACGTGGGAGACCCTGGCATAAGACTTCTCAGCATCAGAGAAGATGCCGTGCTGTACGAGAAAAGCAGAATCGAAGGAGCTCACAAGAAACACGAGATGCACAAGTTTACAGAATCCACCTCAAATATTCCCATGGGCTATTTGTGCCCAACCTGTGGTAGAGCATTCTGAACTCATACCGATCTGATCAGCTACAGTCAGACACACTACAACTTGACTCTGGCATAGTGATGTCATTTGGGTCTTCTTCAAGGACAAAGGACAACAGCCAACTGATAACCAAGTCCTCAGGCACATGAGATGGCGGTGGTGGCTCCAGACAAAACGGAACAGGGGAAGATACCAGTTGTCTTGGGGCAAATATACAGCAGGCTTTGGGTGGGATAGGAGATATGTATTCCTAGGTTATAGAGGTGCATTTGGGCCCTGAAACAGATGCTTTTCAGGACATGGAAACTGTGTGGGACAACTGAAAGTTTCTCATATAAAATGGAAGCTATGCTCCAAAAATGTAGTAAAGTTTTAGCATGAGCTGGGCCCAAGTTTCACTTTCCTGTAAATCTTACATTTTGGGGAAAATAAAGTCCCACACCAGCTGCCTACCCCCTCCCTTGTTTTGTAACCACTACCCCAGCCTTATCTTTGCCAAATAAGGCAATCTGCTAGCTTCCAAACTTGTTTTGGGTAAAATGTATCTCTTAGTTCCTGGGTAAAGTTGTTTGTCTCTTACCTCAGCCTGGGGATAAAGAGATTCAGGTAAACAAGTGGGAGGGCGGTTTTTCTTAGAGTTGTTTGTCTAAGGGTATATAACTGCTTGCTTGCTGCTTGTATCCTGCCTCCCTACTCCAGTCTGCCCTGGGTAGGTGATGCCCAATTCTTGCTAAAATAAAACTTCTGTTTCCACTGAGAGAAACCTCTGAATTTTTATTTGGGTAAGTGGTCTCTATCCCACTCAGAAATGAATTAAAGAAGATTGGTAATTCTTTGGAAGATGCCTTCTGGATTTGGCCCTAAGTTGCATTAGGCCTTTGCCACTTATCCTTTTGTTGTGTTGAAATACCTATCTACATCACACAAAACAATATGGCAGTGATCCACAGTCTTTGGAGGGAAGGACAGACTGTATAACACACACGTCTGTCAGTAAGATAACAAACATTCATCCAGAGGTTACTATGTTCCAGGAATTGTACTAAATAGTGGGGATATAAAGAAACACAAAGATACCCCTTCTATTCAAGGAAGTCATATTATAAGGGGAAGAGAATATATAAACATTAGTACATAGATAATATATACAGAACAGATAAAGGTAAACTCAGAAAAGAGGGGAAAAGCATCTGATTAGACTATAAAAGCCTTCCTGCAAAAGACAGGAATCAACTTCTGTCTTGAAAAAACCTAGGGAATCCAAGAAACAAAGTTGAAGAGAGCAAGCATTCATAAAATGAGTTGCAGCCTCTTATATAAAATATTAAGGGAAGTGGATGAATAAGAAAATATTTTTATTGAATTTATTTCTTAGATAAGAATTTTGTATACACCAGAAGTTGCAAACTCATTGTCTGTGGGCCTCATGCAGCCTGGCCAACATACTAATGTGGCCAGAACCAGATCATAATGTCATTAGGAAAAGTTCAGTGAAATAAATCAAAGTATAATATTTCATAAATAATGATAATTTGTGGTTTTTTAAGTCAATATGTGGCTTTCAATGATCTGTTTCTATTTGAGTTTAACACCACTGGATACACACATACATATGTACTCACTTGCATATATGCATACTGTAGGGTCTGGAATTTCCCTGGCTGGGGAATCCTTATGCACTGGGATATTCTTGGCTTCCTCAATCAGAGCAGTTAATTTAGAAAGAGACTGAGGGCTCCATTACGATTAAATATAGAGTTCAATAAATGGTTTTACTAATCATAATGGATTACTTACAATGAAGGCCATTCTGGAGTGGCTGCCAGATGAAAACAGTCTCAATAATGGATCAATCCCCTCACTTAGAAGCCCCAGGAAAGCCCAGTGATAATTATAGAAAAAAAAAATTGGAAGAAGAGCAATAGAATACGTTGTCATTGATTGGTGGATGTTTTGGGTTTCTGTTTAGTAATGAGCTTGGGCATTAAGTCAATGTTATTGGGTAAAATGCCCAAACACAGGTTTGTGTATGGATCATGTACTGGTCACATATGGGTCATGGTATTCGTGTTATAACTTTCATCGATCACAGTACCTGAGTTATGACTCAGTGTCTGAATTTTGATTTTTAACAGGTCATCATGTCCAGGCTTCCACCTTTCACAGAGTTTAAGTTTATGGCTTTCTTACTGTGTTTTATGGATTTTTCCCCAGTTGGGACCTCATGCATACATATACACAAGGGCATATATATACATGTGTATATATGCATGTATGTGCATATAAACATCTATGGGTAAGCAAAAATCATTCCTCAACATATAAGTAAAAAAGGATATGAACAAATGATTCTCAATAGAAGAACTGCAAAAATAGTAAGTACTATAGGAAAGAATACTCAAAATCACTAGTAATAAGAGAAATGCACATCAGAACAATACAAAGATTTCACCTCAATCTCATCAGATTGTTAAATATAGGAATATTCTTGAGAAGTTATGGGAAAACTGGCACGCTAGCATATTGCTGATGCAGCTATGAATCAGTATGACCATTTTTGAAAGCGATTTGAAATTATTAAAATAAAATGACTAAAGTGTACATAGCATTTGACCCAGGGATTCCAATGTCGACATATACCACAAAGACACCACTGATAAGAAGAAAGTACAGATAAAAATAAAAATTCATATAGCTGAAGTTTTGTGCCTGGTTCTGCTTTTTTAAATAGCTTTCTTATAAGCAATAGATTGTAGGGTTTTATTTTCTTATCCAATCTTTCACTTTTTTTCATTTTATCGTATTGTCTATTTCCGTTCACATTTAAAGTTATAAGAGTTAGGTTTATATTTCCTCTATCACTAAAATTGAGTTTTTTTCAAAGTATAATTTTTTCTTCTTCTGTTGTAAACACAGTATTGTGATCCTTTAATCACTCTACCTTAATCTTTTTTTAGGTTTTCCTGTCCCTACTAGATCTTTTCCCCTTCCATATCCCCTCTTACTGTTTGTTCCCACTTTTTATTTGGGGTTTTCTTTATTAGTTCCTTTTTATCCTTTTATATAGTAATATAATTCTCCTCCCTACATTCTTCCTCTCAGTCAAATACATTCCACTTTTATCTGCCCACCTTCAAATAGTCTTGCTCATCAGTTTGTTTAATGTCATTTTTTTGCATCCCTTTCCAGAAAGGATTTCCCTTACTTTCTTCATTATATATCCTGTCTTTCTGTATGCTCTAGACTTTTATTCTATCATGAATGGCCCCTATAATTATATAGTATTTTTTTTTCTTTCCTTCATTTATTCTTCATGTAATCAAAGCTTCTAAGCTGTTCATTCTAGGATTTCCCCTCCAGGCAGTTTCTGCCACTGCTTTGTAGGACTTGCCCCATAGATTCCCCTTTCCATTATGTCTCATACCCAGAACAATACTAATTTTTGCATGCATCAAAGAAGACTCTACCCTATGGTAGGGTCCTCCCCCCATCACCAAATCCCCCCTACCACACTCAGTGAACATCTGTCTTCATAAACCATCTCTCTTCATCCATAAGAGCATTCATAAGTGGAACTCCTTCCCACCACCAAAGTAAGGCCGCATCTATATATAGACAGTACAGAAAGAAATGAGCTCAAACTTTGAGAGCAAATGTAACAAGGTTGGGAGAGGGGTGTAATTCACTCTGCAAATCCTTTTGCTAGAGTTCTAAACTTCTGTTCTTTGGTATAGTGTAGGGTTTTTTTTCTTCTACAAAATTTGAAGAGCTATGATTCTCCTTTCCTTCCAGCATCTGGTTTGTCCTTTGCTTCAAATGCATACTCTGTGGTCATCCATTATGCTGGAGTTACAAGCATGCCAAAGAAAGAAGTTCAAGTTTTCCTAATCCTTCACAGTTGACTAGGCTCCCTTGGCCATAAGAGTGATTAATTCAATCCATCACATCTCTGAAGTTTGTCTCAAATAGTGTCTCCTTTCTCCACTACCAACTGCTAGTATTTACTATGCCAATGAGCTTCCTGGAATTGTACAGGCTCTTGAAAATGAGGTCAAGCTCCTACACCAGGCTACTTGCCTATCAGATCTAGAGATGTGTGCATTCACTGCTTACATGTAGTGAGCAACTGAGACATATCATCATCAGATGAAAGAATCAGTGCATAGCACATTATGGCTTGATTTAGTTAGGGAGGATGATTTGACTGATTTACTCATGAGACCGCCATACTTACACACAAAGTATGGAAGTCTAGAAATTTTCTAGACATCACCAAAATAATTTTTTTTAAAAAGGCAAATTGTACCACTAGCTATATCTAGTTAGACTGTAAAGCCCTTATTAATAGGTATTGCTTCATTCTTTGTCTTTGAAACTCAAGCACCTGGCCCACAGCAGGCAGTTAATGGTTTGGTGATTTATTGCTTAATATCTAACAAACTTCTGAGACTATCAAAATTTAGAGTTATTGCTACAACCTAATGGATTTATAAAAGATGGAGAGAACAGTATGGAAGGACTACAATGTCTTTATTCCTTGTACTAAGACAGTAGACCCTTAGGAAAAGTTTGTATTATGTGAGAAAAGCTGAATATTGTTCACACAAATAAAGTCAGATCTAAATAATTGTGAAAATATCAGTTGCTTATGGGTACGCCATGCTAATATAAAAAACGACAATTCTACCTAAATTAATTTACTTATTCAGTGCCATACCAATCAAGCTACCAAAAATTATTTTATATAGCTAGAAAAAAAATAACAAAATTCATCTGGAAGAACAAAGGGTCCAGAATACCAAGGGAACTAATGAAAAGAAATGCAAAATAAGGTGGTCTAGCTGTACCAAATCTTAAATTGTATTGTAAAGCAGCAATCATCAAAACTACTTGGTATTGGCTAAGAAACAGAGTGGTGGATCAGTGGAATAGGTTAGGTATGGAAGATACAGCAGTCAATGAACATAATAATCTACTATTTGATAAATCCAAAGACTCCAGCTTCTGGGATAAGAGCTCACTGTTTAAGAAAAACTGCTGGGAAAACTGGAAAAGAGTATGGCAGAAATTAGGCATAGGCCAGCATCTTACATCCTTTACCAAGATAAAATCAAAATGGGAACATGATTTAAAGACTGATACTATGAGCAAACTAGGAGAGCAAGGAATAGTTTACCGTTCAGATCTATGGCGAAGGGAAGAATTGATGACCAAACAAAAGATAGAGAACATTGTGAAATGCAAAATGGATGACTTTGATTACATTAAATTGAAAAGTTTTTTGCACAAACAAAGCCAATGCAACTAAGATAAGAAGGGAAGCAGAAAGCTGGGCAACAATTTTTACAGCCAGCGTCTCTGATAAAGGCCTCTTCTAAAGACTCTATAAGAATACAAGTCATTCCCCAACTAATATACGGTCAAATGATACGAACAGGCAGTTTTCAGAGGAAGAAATTAAAGCCACCTAGAGTCATATGAAAGAATTCTCTAAATCACTATTGATTAGAGAAATGCAAATCAAAATGACTCTGAGGTACCACATCACACCTATCAGATTGGCTAACATAAAAAAACAGGAAAATTATAAATGCTGGAGAAGATGTGGGAAAATTGGAACACTAATGCATTATTGGCAAAGTTGTGAACTGATTCAACCATTCTGGAGAGCAATTTGGAACTATCCCCAAAGGGCTATAATATTGTGCATACCCTTTGACCTAGCAATACCACTTCTAGGTCTGTATCCCAAAGAGATCACAAAAATGGGAAAAGGACCCACATTTACAAAAATATTTATAGCAGCTCTTTTTGTGATGGCAAAGAATTGAAAATTGAGAGGATGCCCATCAATCAGTGAATGGCTGAACAAGTTGTGGTATATGACTGTAATGGAATACTACTATGCTATAAGAAATGATGAGTAGGCAGACTTCAGAAAAAGCTGGAAAGACTTATATGAACTGATACTGAGTGAAATGTGCAGAACCAGGAGAACATTGTACACAGTAACAGTCACATTGTGTGATGATTGACTTTGATAGACTTAACTTTTCTAGGCAATGCAAAGACCTAAGACAACTCCAAAAGACTCAAAATAGAAAATGCTATCCAGATTCAGAGAAAGAACTATGGAGTCTAAATACAGATAGAAGCATACTATTTGATCTCCTTTTCTTTTGTTGCTCTGTTTTGTTTCTTTTTTTCTCATGGTTCCTCTCATTAGTTTTAATTCTTCTTTACATCATGACTAATGTGAAAATATGTTTAATATGAATGTATATGTAGAGCCTATATCAGATTGAATGCCATCTTGGGGAGTGGGGAGGAAAGAAAATTTAAAATTCAAAATCTTATGGAAGTGAATGTCAAAAACTAAAAATTAATTAATTATCTGAAAAATGAGAAGCAAAATAAGATTTGAGTAAAAAATGCTTCTATATTTAAAAGCAAAAACAAAAGAAAAGCTGAATACTGAAAAAATAAAATCAACTTTAAAAATAATTATTATAAATAGAGTGAGCCTGCATTGGGCACTAGGTTATCAATGACCATCTCTCAGCATACAAAGAAATATGCTACCTTGAGCAATTGTACCTATTTTCTGCAAATGGGGATGGGGATAATTTGCTGAATCTAACATCCTAAGAACTTGTTTGTCCTTTGCAGATACGAAGCATTGTGTGAAGTGCCCAGAAGACAAATATCCAAATAAAGAAAGAAATGGATGCCTCCCCAAGGTTGTGACTTTCCTGGATTTTTCAGAACCTTTGGGGATGACTCTAATTTGTGTGGCTCTTTCTCTCTAATGACAGCTCTGGTTCTGTGGGTATTTGTGAAGTTTCAAGACACACCTATAGTAAAAGCCAACAACCGCATTCTCAGCTATACTCTCCTCATCTCCCTCAACTTCTGTTTCCTCTGCTCCCTGCTCTTCATTGGCCGTCCTACTTCAGCCACCTGCCTCCTTAGACAAACGACCTTTGGGATTGTGTTCACTGTAGCAGTGTCCTCCATTTTGGCCAAAACCATTATGGTAGTCCTGGTTTTCAGGCTTACAACACCAGGGAGCAGAGGTAGAATGTGGGTACAATCCAGAGTGTCCAACTCTGTTGTCATTATATGTTCTGGGGTTCAAGTGATTCTCTGCGGCATCTGGTTGGGAATCTCTCCCCCTTTCCCAGAGGAAGATACACACTCTGAGCCAGGTCAGATCATCATTGGGTGCAATGAGGGTTCTGTCATTGCTTTCTACTCCATCTTGGGCTACATGGGATTCCTATCACTGTGCAGCTTCACAGTGGCTTTCCTGGCCAGGAACCTTCCTGACACCTTCAATGAAGCCAAGTTCATCACATTCAGCATGCTGGTATTCTGCAGTGTCTGGGTCTCTTTCCTCCCAACTTACCAAAGCACCAAGGGCAAGGCCATGGTTACTGTGGAAATATTCTCCATCTTGGCATCCAGTGCTGGGTTACTGGGCTGCATTTTTGTTCCCAAGTGTTACATCATTCTGCTGAGGCCAGACAGAAACACTCAGGAACATATCAAGAATAAAGTAGATCACAGGGGTAGGAATCAATTTGCATCATTGCCTGCTATTTTCTACCAGAGTCATAATAAATTTTAA